CCCCCGCCCCTCCCCACACACGCACACACCCACCCACACGCAGACTCACTCACTCCATCAGCTGACAGCAGGCCTGGTAAAGGGCATGTGTTTAACCGTGATTGATGCACTGTCAGTAATGTAGAAGACAGTGGGAATCCAGATTAGACAAAATGACCCATGGGAGCGAGATGAGAGATGGTTTGGGGAGATGGAGAGGTCAGGAGACAGCGAGGCAGGCGAAATTTGCTCTCTGTGAATGTCTGATAACTCGTCTTCTCACTGCGACACGTTTCACTTTGAAGCCTCCCCCAGAAACCAAGATAGGCACAAGATTTTTTTTCCTTTTTTGCACCCTGCTGTTGTCTTTTTAATCTGTGCCTCATATTCTTTAAAATAAGCTTTATTTTATATGCAGTGACACCAAAATCTGACTTTTTCAATCCAAACTGTAACTTTAAACGAGCAGTTGTGAATGAAATTAAAGTGACATGAGTGTGTGTGCGTGCGTGCGTGCTTGCACGCTGCTGTCATGGCAGAAGTTTATCTTCATTTAAACAGTTATGCGGGAATGATAACAAGCTGTTTCTCACCCAGGTGCCATCTCTTGTATTCAGAAGGTAAATAATGGAGGGAAACATTAAAGCTTTTCCAATTTGTTGTTCACTTCATGCCAAATTGTATTGTAGTCATTTAACATTATGACTGAATTACAAGAAAATGTGGTGGAAAATCAATTTGATTATCATAACAAGACTGGAAAAAATGGAACATTTTACTGGAAGGGATTTTATTTGTATTGCCTGCTGCAAAAAGGGCAGAAGTGTTTAGGCATGTGTGTGTTATTTGTCTTTAGCTTTAGCTAAATATCTCATAAACCAGTCAATAGATTTTACTGAAACCAAATAATCATTGGATCTAAAACTGTACAACTGATTACCTTTAAGACTCAACTCAATTCAAGATGGCTGCCAGAGTTAAGTGGCCTTAGTCAATGCAAAAAATGGCTATAACTTCATCAATTCAACACACATAGAGCTAAAATTTGGTATGGAACTAAGTCCTCCTTAAAGGCACAGTGTGTAGGATTTTGTCAATTCTTTTAACCAAAATTGAGATAATCACTAATGACAATAACAAAAAAATATGTCTAATCATTGCAGACAAAGACCTTGTTTTATTATCTTTACCTTATAAAAATCTGTTTACATCTCCATGGTCGTGGGCCGCCATTACAGGCAGCCACCATCTTGCACCGCCATCTTGTCTACGAAGGCTCATGAAGGACAAACTGCGGTGGCGGCGTCAAAAATTGTTTTAGTTGTAATACTATAAATGTAATATTTGTTGTCTGTCATTGTAGCTAGGATAATTTTACTTATTAAAGCTCATAATCTTACCACTTGAAACATCACCAGCCCTGAAGCTGCTGGTAGACATCGCGGTTGGAATTATCAAAGGTTTTTGACACCTGAGAGACACCGTAGCAACTCTTTTGTGTTTGGAAGCGGGGGTAGGGGGTGGGGGGAGGACCAGGGAGGATGATTCAACCACTCAACCACTAGATATCGCTGAAAACAACAAATCCTACACACTGTGCCTTTAACACAGGCTCCGAGAATGATATCTAGTTATATGGGATACCGTTGATGAGGTTATTTTCAAGTTTATTTGTTTTTACCAAAATGGCTACAGCACCATCAATTTTCTATGCAATTTCAGTCTAATAATCAGGAATGAAAGATGACAAGTTAAAATTATTCGTACAATAAATATCAGCCCTAGCCTTAGATCATTGTTCCCAGCATTTCATAAAAACAAAATTCACTGAGTTTTCCCATATTTTTCCCTGAGTAAATCCAGAAATTCCAGAAAATCTACATATTCAGAACTTGGCACAGAGGATTTAAGGGCCTGCATACTCCATCCAAAGCTGCAAAATCAGAATCAGCTCTCATTCGTGTAGTAGCATGAAAATTGTGTCATTTTGTTTGATTTTAAGTATCATGTTCGATATCTTTTTATTTTGGTCAATATCTGTCTCTCATGACTATGGGCTGGTTAGGAACATACAGTAGATTCACAGGTAAATAAAAAAGTTTAGCTTTCGGCTCAGCTTCTTCTTCACCATCTCGGAGCCACCATGTTTAATTGCAACTAAACACTAAATGTCACGTTTTTTGCCCCACTGATACAGCTGAGCACTGCTAACAAACCAACTGAGCTCTACATAGCATTTCATGTATAGAAACAGTATTTTAATGTCCTCTTATAAACACCGAAAAGTACTACATGTACAACTGACTGAAATAAATTAAACACAAATACTATTAAAAATAAGAGTTGTACTCAGTTTAGTTCTTGAATTCTGAACTGGGGTAACTGGAGTTCTCACACTTTTATTTCCAACAGGAAATTTACCAATGGAGGGGCATTCCAGATTAAATTTATGAATTAAATGTGGGAATATCCAACTTCTCAGTATAACTAGGCTGCAGCAAAGGCAGGAAAATGGAGATTTTGCATGGCGAGTATTACTGGCTACCAGTTACTTTTAAACCCTGTGCACCTCCATCTAGTGGTGGGATGTTATCATTTTGAAGGTAAAACTAGATACTGCATAGTGGTAGCATAAATGACCCCCGCACTGGTGGGGGTCATATATATATATATACATATATACACTAAATATATACTAAATATATATTTATATATTTTTTGCCCGAAATGTTTACGTCTGTGACAACTGGCCAAGTCACGTGATCGTCTGAAATTATAATGTGTAATGTCTCATAAACTATAGCAGCACAAACAGCCTTTTCAATGGCACAAACCTGCACAAACAAAGCACTACAAATTTTGACTAGTTTGGTTCATTTTTGGTTCATTTTGAAGCGAGCGGGTGTGATGTGACCCCTGAATGACCCTTACAAATAATCTTTAATATATAAAAAACCATAGCAGCACAAATGACAATTTCACGTGCACAACACTAACCACTAATCCTATTTGCCTTTTTTTCCTGTGGTTCATTTTTTGGGAGGGGTTGGCTTCTCTCAGCTCAATGGTTGTTCTAAACCTGACCTTGATAGATGGGACAACTCTCATTTTGACTGTGGAGTGTGAAGTTTGGAAGAGGTTTCATATGTGTGGAAATGAGTTGAGGGTGTAACGAAGATGAAGATAAAAAAGTAGTTGAGTGATGGTGGGGCCCATCCCACGCCTCATTGCGTCCTCGTTCATTATGGCCTGCACTTCATTAAAAACGGAGCCGTCCTCAATGGAAAATGGAAAAAGGAGACGCTCGTCGTCCGTATTCCATCACGTCTCTAGTCTGTTTGTTGTAAACACAAAGCATTCAAGTGTATCATCACAAATGTGTAATTTATAATAACCGCTTTGTGCAAATGTGGAAATATATTATGGTGATTGTTTCTGGGTGGAAGCGTGCACCAACCAATCATCAGACGAGGTTTGAAGAATTGTTCGGGCATAAATGTTTTGGATCGGTCCAAAGTGAGCTGAGTGGAACATGGTGTCAGAACACTTGTCCCTTTACACATGAAGACAGTTGGTTCAGCTCCATATTTAAACCTCACACAATTTAGATAAGCTATTCTTTGTCTTTCTTTCTTCTTTTAAGAAAAATTTTAATCAGTCTTGTGAATTTTTTTTAATCAAATTTATATTTGCACACGCATTCCAGAATATGTTTTCAAAATGACAGTAGTATGTTATAACCTAAGCTTGTAATATCACAGGTACTGAAATGTGGATTTTAATACTGCAATTCCTACAACACAATGATTTCAGTTGTATTTGTATAATCCATCGAAAATTGTAAGATGTTGTTCTTGTCAGCAGTGGATTTGACCAGGCCTAAAAAGTAAATTTTCAAACGTCATCCTACCTTGGATACACTTCTTGACTTTCTATTTGAGGGTACAGCTTCCAA